CTGATATAAATGGCGTTTCTAAATTTTTTTTTTTTATATTTTTTTCCTGGGCACTTCTCTTTTAATTTTACCTACCAGAGAATTAGTTCTATAAAAGGCCTGTGCGCATACATAAACATATACACGCACATACATACATACATACATACACATCGAACCATCGCCTACAAGACGGGTTTGGTTCTGCATCGTTAGTATATTTTGATTTAAAATTGGATTATACAATATAATCAATTAATCGAGGGTATTTTTGTTCAAAAATAATAAAAATAATAAAAATCGAAAGTTATAATCGTAGTCTTAATTTCAATATTCAATACATTTTATAATTTATTTTTATTTATAATATTCCTTTCTTGTATAAATCAAAGTTTGAGAGCTATTTTTGTAAAGCTTTCGTTGTATATATATTACAATCATATCTCAATTTTTCCTACACCAAAAAACGTACACACATACGTAATTCAAATTGGTGATTTATTAATCATAGCCGTAGCTATGGACTCCCCCCAATATTTTCCTAATTGCGAGTAAGTATAAAAAACTTTTCTTATTGGTTGAATTCTTTAACTTTCTCATCTTCATCTTTATCCTTCGCCTTTATAAATGATCTAGATGGACGGTTAATGTTACGAGCTGTGTTGGAGAATATTACTTTCAAGTGGTATATGGAGTGACGATATACTTATCATTATTCGTCTTTTTAAGTGCAATTTGGTTACTATTATGGCGTTTATGCAGCAAGCCAAACGTAAAATTGTTTAAATTAAATTGCTTTTTCGCCTTAGAGGGTTTCTTATTTACTCAAGTTCTTTGGAGTGGTGGTATGTTAAATTTCTTTATTATACCATTTTAAGTTAAAACCTTTTAATTCGCTAATTCATTTGTTATAACTTTCATATATAGTCAAAGTGGTCTTCTCCATAATATTAATATATAACATATTACCAGAAAACATAATCGTTCGAGAAGTGCTCTTTGATCTAACTTGGTTGCTTGGAGTAATATCTGTGGCAACTTATTTAGCAAGCATTCTTCGAACAATTCCACGTATGCATTTCTACCGACAAAATCCACACTATAACCCTTCATTACATTTACCAACTCTCCGAGGCATAGTCTCTGTCTACACCTCGTTTATAGTACTTATTACTGCCATAGTAATCACGTGTGCAATTTTTACCGGCTATTTACGACAAGACACAACTTCAGATCAGCAAAATACAATTAAAGCTCTGATTGTAATTCATTTTACGACTTATTCCATAAGTTGTTTTTTAATAGTTTCCGGTTTGGTAATTTATGGAAAGAAGTTGGTAAATATTGCAAATGAAGGATTGCGCCTGTTAGAAGGTGTAAATGGTTATCCGACTACACCAAGATCTTCAAAACGTTATAGATTTTCTCTTGCTACACGAAGAGGGAGTAGTTTTAGTAATCATCTCGAGTTGAAACATGATCAGTTGAAACGAGCTCTTTTAAAGGTAATTTTTCAATTTCTTAAATAAATTTTTTTTTACTATTTTTAGATTATTAAAATTTTATTTAATTTCTTATAATGTAGATGCGCATTTTACATGCTGCTTTTACTTTTAATTTCATAATGTTGGGTTTAATAATAGGAATATTCGCATTTTATCATCAAGCGATATTTGAAAATTTGATAGTTAGCAAAATGATTTCGATATTAGATAATTGGATGCCAATGTTATTAAATGTTAGTGTCATGGCTGGTATTGCTTACGGGTACGTATTAATTAATGATTTTAATTAATTTTGACTAAAATGATTATAAATTATAAATTAATTTTTTTCTTTTTTCTTCTTTTGAAGTGAAATGAGAATTTCCGATAGAAATGATCCAACACTTTCAAATTTGACACTTACAGAAACTCAAACACAACAATGCAACACAAATATTGATAATGGCGAAGTTTTTGCCCAATCTGAAGAGTCTATCGAAACTACCTCGGTCTTCACTTCGGCCAATTCTCATAGTAGGTCATCATTTCATCAGAGAAATGAATCAGCTGATTCAGATACTCCATTAATATGTAATCCATCGCTTTCGAGTATCAATGCATCGGATTCGAATAGCCTAAATGGGTGTAGAAGGGGTTCATCATTGAGACATCCAGTGTCGGTAAAATGGCCAACAATCATTTCACCAGTACATTTATCGCCCAAACAATCAATACAATATGGAATGAGAAATAGTATTAAAGAGCTTACGGGTGATATTAAAAGTCTAGACAGGAATTCTTCAGTTGGTTCAAATTCTGAGACAGATATTACATCGACATATATAAATATAGACCTTTCACCTGCTCAACAAATTAGTTTAAGTTTTCCTGGCTTGAGTGAAGAAATTATAGGTGAAGGAAGTACCGATGGTTTTGTAATAAAATCCACTGAAGTTAAATAACATTATACTGTATTATACAACTATAGAAACTTTTCTTGAGATTTTAAATTTTTTTCAATCATTGCCTTTCTGAGGGGTACAAATGTTTTTTATATCTCTCTAGAGGTAGTTGCAAATATTAAATCCGTTCGTTTGTAATTAGAAATACACACACAACACATCAAAAAATAAGTCTGGCGTTTGTGAACGCGTTTTCTTCCTTAAATAATTAGATTTAATTTTGGAGACAATAGCCTTAATTTGCATCTTTCTTCATTCAAAAAAAAAAAAAAGCAAAAAAAAAAACACCATAATTTTGAATATGGTGTGGTTTGTTTTTTTGGGGGTTTTTTTTTTTTTTTTTACCTAATGCTGTAATGCATTCAACCATAACATTTTTAATTAAGCATGTATAGTTAATATATCCGAAAAAAAACATTAACACAACTCAGACTTTACCAAAATATAAGGTTTGATTTTAACAAATAAGCATTAATACATTATACGTAATGACAAAAATTCTGGAAATTTTTTCGTTGAACAAATAAAATTAAGAAAGGTGATTTGCCCCACCTAAAAAAAAATTAAAGAATGTTATGTTTTAAAACCATATCAACTGAAATAGTTTAATTATTCTATGACCTAACTAACACACTTCTCTTTTATCATGACATAAATTAATCTTCCAATAAAAACCTTAAGCTTTATTCTTTGAACAAATTAATTCGATATCTTTTGATATAAAATATGTATCCAAATAGAAAAGTTGATGACTTCTACATTTATCGTTATTGCTATGGCCAACGATTATGATTTTCATTGCCCGAAGCGTAGCGAAGACTTACTATGGAGACACAAGTGATATTGAGCCAACTAGCATATAACATATGCTCGTCGAGATGGAAGATCCCATAAAAAATTATTGTCGCGGATCATAATGAAATCGGATTAAAATGAAATGAGAGTTTCTATTTAACACTCTAAAACCCACTTATACTTGTTTATTATAAACTCTACTCTAAAACTAACCTCTAACCTTAACCCCTAACCCTAAAAAACGTGCCTCAAAAATTTTTATTTTTTTCTATTTTTTCACATTGTCACATTTAATATCTTATATTGCAGATCTAGGATTATCTAGAAAAAAGGATGATTCAGATTTAGAAGATGGTACAGTCAGACCTCTCTAAATGCAATGCGATGGGACCATATGTAAAAATTTAGCACTTAGAGAGGTATTGCATTTAGAGAAGTAAAGATCTATAGGCATAGTATTAGTTGAAGACGTGCATTTAAGGAAGCTTTTCATAGGACGTGCACTTAGGGGGGTTGCATTTAGGGGGTCTGAATGTATTTACGCGTTTTACCTTATGTTGCGCCAGAAGACAACCATACAAAATTGCTGCTGACATTTATAGTTTTGGTATTATTGTAGCTGAAATGCCCACGGGAAGACCTTATTATTATATTGAGTATATATGATGAAACATTAGCTATTCAATATGTAATGGATTACGTTATGAATGTGCTATACTCAATTAGCAAATCGATGTATCCTTCTAATAGACCAGCTACGTCTGATATCTATGATAAATTATCAGAATGGTATAAGATAGTAAGTAATGATAGTGTAGAAAATAAAGATATTAAAAGGATTCCTAGTCTGCCGATTAAATTATTCCAACACTGTCAACCGAACTGCCAGTTTGCCCTAAAGATAAGTTTATAAGTAAACTGTTTAATTTTAAAAACCTTTCTAAACCGATTAATTCTTCATTTACAAATTTGTTAAAGGTTTATGGTAAATAATTTTGATTTTTTAGCTTCTACTACGTATCGATTTTTCAATTTCTGATGACGATTATAATAATATATTTAATGTGTATTTTAATAATTTTAATTTACTACGTAATCTATAAAGATAATAATCTTATCTATTTAAATATTTTGTCTCTACAGCCGTATAAAGTCTAATATTGATTTATACGAAGTTAGAGCTAAAGCTATCGAGTTTATGGCCATATTAACTTGATCAAAGAAATAATTTTTATATAAAACCATATAAAAGTAATTTCTTTTTTCATCAAAATTCCGAAATTGATAAAAATTTTCTTAAATTATCTACCCAGTTTATCAAATATATAAATAAAATTTTCAAAATTTGAACCGGCGAAGACAAAGAAAAAAAAATTGGATAGCCTTATTTTTTACTTTTACGATCAGAAAATTTCATGCTTATAGTACTGCATAATATATAGTTATTGGATGCGAAGCAGCCAATAATGAAGTTTATTTATACGTAATAAAATTTTTGGTCTAACAAAGATAATTTTTCAATCAAATTTATTAAAACTAGTCAATGAAATCTTTAGGATTCTAATTTTCAAGACTTGAACAAAGCCTATTATTAATGAATACTACCGTAAATGTGCGTATACAAGACCCGGATCTAGTACATGCTGAGAGGCTATTTGTAAAAGGAAAAAATTTAAAGTACATACACGATTTTGTACGACTGGGTCTAATTCATGGTCCTATGGATTCACGTAGCTTACACCTCCGCAATGTTAAACAGTTCGTGTTCAGTGAATTATGCTCACATCTTCGATCCAACAAATAATAACGTATTTCGGCTATTAGTATGGTCTACAAAATTAAAAAAAATAAAAAAGTAAAATAATAAATACGAAGTATCATCATCACACCATCCTAATACCACTGGTCGTAAGTCTCGGAATATGAAGGTCTACAGTTGGCGATTTCCACAAGTTAGTCCCTGTGGGCTCTCTCCAACCAGCGTAACTTACATCTCCACAATGTTAAACAGTTCACTTTGGACTTAGAAAGTAAATAATAACGTGCTTCGACTATTAGTATGAAAAATACTTTTTCATGTTCGATTATTGATTGTCTTTGCTTGTGATT